GCTCAGCTGCATACATCAATCAAGCCCGCATCCCAGGAGGGTAGGAGCTAGGGGCAGCCCATGTATATTCAATGTTTCTCTCTGGCAAAATATTTACCTGCTCAAATGTCACCTTCCCCTTTGATCTGTAGCCCTCAGAGGGTCTGAGTCAGTGTCTCTGTACTCAAAGCCGGACGTGCGGTAGAGGTAGGGGGAGCAAGAGACAGGCTGGACTAGGCCGGTTCTGCCCATTCATGTAGCCTGGCATATCTGAAGCAGAAGAAAAGCAAGGGCAGAGGATGAGCCTTGTCCTTAGAAGTATCAGGGACACTAAGTAATTATTATTTTTTAGTTGTGCTCTTGAGATATGTCTTAAATTATAGCAAGCCTGAACAAACAAACACATGTTTGCAAGGTATCAACTGAGCTACAGCTCCCTGCCTAACTTTCCCTTTGAGAGGAAATCAAAGTTTGCCTTTGTGTAAGTGCCTAGGACTTGCCGATCGCATGGTCGGTGGTTCGAATCCCCGCGGCGGGGTGAGCTCCCGTCGTTCAGTCCCAGCTCCTGCCCACCTAGCAGTTCGAAAGCACCCCCAAGTGCAAGTAGATAAATAGGTACCGCTTTATAGCGGGAAGGTAAACGGCGTTTCCGTGTGCTGCGCTGGTGCTGGCTCGCCAGAGCAGCTTCGTCACGCTGGCCACGTGACCCAGAAGTGTCTCCGGACAGCGCTGGCCCCCGGCCTCTTAAGTGAGATGGGCGCACAACCCTAGAGTCGGACACGACTGGCCCGTACGGGCAGGGGTACCTTTACCTTTTAATGTGTGAAAGGCCCTTTTGATGAATGAACAGTGTCACATTGGATTCACGTGGTATGAGCTGAGGGTACCATTGAGGACCTTAAAAGATCTAGGGATCCTGTAGCCCTCTAGATATTACTGGACTACAACTCTCATCATCCCTGGCCATTGGCCATGCTGACTAGGGCTGCTGGAACCTGGAAGGATCTTGATCATGCTATAAAATAATGGATTGGGGGGGGAGGGGAGGGAAGAACTCATTTCTTTAAAACATAGACAAAAAGGAGACTAAAACATAGACCAGGCAAATGCATGTGTATGCTGTTAAGATAGTGAAGAAAAATATACGAGAAAGAATCAATAAGACATTTTTTGGGGGAAGGGGGAATATCTATCCAATTAATTTTCCTGGTTAGTTTAAGAGCTGGGGGTGGAGGAGATCTGGGTCATGATGTTCTGTCTATTGGCAAAAAAGCCATCAGAACTTTGTAAAATACCACAAATATATATATTACAACTAGGGCTGGAAGGATCTGTCAATGTCAGTTCTCTCAGTTTCTCATTTTCCCTATCTTAAATTCAGTTTTCCAGATTTTTGCAGCAATTTCTAAAAAGCCTCATCAAAATGAATCTGAATTTTAGGATCAATTTCACCTAATAAACACATTCTGCATGCAGTTTGAGTGGTGTACACTTTTTTTGCAAGCCATTTTCCCTAACAGAATGCATTTTGTATTAATATTAATGTTTTCATTACCATATTCATTTTTATGTGGCGCTATGCACAGGACCCCCTCCCTCTCACCAGCAAGGGGGGGGGGGCATTCCGGCAGTGGTGGAAGCAGTTGGGGGCACCACCTCTTTCACTTCCACTACCTGAGGTGAGTGCTTCACCTTGCCTCATCGGCAGACTGGCTCTGCCCCCCTCAAACCATCTTTCCTCCAGTGCAAAAATGTAAGCCACTGCTAAGTGGAGGTGTGTACCTTTGAAACAGTCATTGCACATGTGCAGATGACAGCACATTCACAGTTAACAGCTTAACTGTGGATTGGCGGGGGGGGGGGCTGAAGGGGATAGCAGACAAATCAGGTAATGCTCATTAGGTGAAGACATCCCAAACCGAGACCCTCCAAGTGTACCTGTTTACCAGGGACAGTCCTGTATTTACAGAAGCCACCCCTGTTTCTCTTTTGATCCTGGAATGTCCCGCTTTCCCTTAGGACGTCCCTATTGTCATTGGAGAAATGTTGGAGGGTGTGGAGTTATCTGACCCCCAAGCTAAGGAGATAAGTAACTATACAACCTTTAGAAGACATCGGAAAGCAGCCCTGTATAGGGAAGTTTTTTCATGTTTAATGTTTTATTATATTTTGATATATGATGGAAGCCGCCCAGAGTGGCTGGGGCAACCCAGTCAGATGGGCGGGGTATATATAATAACATTAGTAGTAGCAGTAGTAGTACAGTGGTACCTCAGGTTACATATGCTTCAGGTTACATACGCTTCAGGTTACAGACTCCGCTAACCCAGAAATAGTACCTAAGGTTAAGAACTTTGCTTCAGGATGAGAACAGAAATCGTGCTCTGGCAGTGCGGCAGCAGCAGGAGGCCCCATTAGCTAAAGTGGTGCTTCAGGTTATGAACTGTTTCAGGTTAAGAATGGACCTCCGGAACGAATTAATTACTTAACCCTAGGTACCACTGCAGTAGTATTGAATAGGACACCTGTGTCTTCACCAGAAAAATGCTGGAGGGTACGCAAGCCCCTCTCTGGTGTGTACAACAATTGTAAAAATGCAAAAATGCAACTTGAAACACAGCGGGGGGGGGGGGGTTAGCTTTGCTGTGTTTCAAGCCACCAGTGTGCACACAGCTATAATCTCATTCCCCTCACAAGCCGCCATTTTTCCTGTTAAGGAAGACGTACAGGCGCTGTATATTTTCCCGAATGTGGAAAGCGTGTGTACGCACGCATGCTTGCACATAGGATATTTAGGATATTTACACAGTCCAGAAGGAAAACATTATTCCCCTCTCCCTCAATGCCATAGTCCTAATCCCATCCCCTTGCACCTATGACAGCTGTTTAAAAGAAAAAAAAAGGCGACCCAGTAGAGATCATTCTGAGGCATCATCTCATTTGGCCCTCCAGGCAGCCTTGATACCAGGGGGAAATAGCTGCATTGCCATGTATTGGAGGAAACACACACACCTTTAAGACGTTGCAGGTTTAGCCTGACTCCAGCTATACTCTCTGCGAGAGCAAACTAATTTTCATTATATAACTATGGCTCATTAGCTTTGTCACCAGCTGCTACGTTCCTTTCACTGCAGCATATGCAAATCGCAAATAGACACTGATGGACTCAGTTTCACTATTGTCTCGGCCTCCTGCTGCCTCCCACCAACTCCCCATTTGTCAGTTTTACCCTTTGCTCAGCCCAGTCTTCCAACGTAGGGTGAATACCCTCCACCATCTATCAAGCGGAGCACACACGTAAACAACACTCAAAGCTGGTTATCTGTAAAGTCCTGTTACACAGCGGGGAGGATTATACTATTGTTAACCAGATGGGTGTTGATTTTATTGTGTTATGAAACCCTCCTCTCTGGGATGAGAAACAGATATAGGAATTTCAGTAAGTGAAAAAGCATGGGAATCAATATGGCAAAATCCATCTTTAAAAACAATTCCGGCTCACCTCCAGGAAATTTCCCTTAAAAACATCTTTCGGCGGCATTGAACCCCCTTGCAGATATAAATCCTTTAAGCTCACCATTATGTTGGGAAGGCTGTGGAGAACGAGGTTCCTGTTTTCATGTTTGATGGGACTGTACTGTGGTCCTCGCGTTTTGGGGGAAAGTTTTTAACCTGACCCCCAAAATCATTAATCTATCCCTCCTAATTTGTCACTTGCCTTATTATCATTAGATTAGACCCCACATTCTACCCTTAAATCTAAAGAATTAATTTCCTTCCTATTCACAGCAGCTAGACTAGTTATTGCCCAACAATGAAAGGAAACTTCTAAAACACCAATACAGTGGTACCTCGGGTTAGTACATAATTCATTCTGGAGGTCCGTTCTTAACCTGAAACTGTTCTTAACCTGAAGCATCACTTTAGCTAATGGGGCCTCCTGCTGCCGCCATGCTGCCAGAGCACGATTTCTGTTCTCATCCTGAAGCAAAGTTCTTAACCTGAAGCATTATTTCTGGGTTAGCGGAGTCTGCAACCTGAAGCATATGTAACCTGAATCGTATGTAACCCGAGGTACCACTGTAGAGGCTTGGTTTAATAGCATCAGAACGCTTCACATACCATTGGAGACTAATCAAAGGAATTTCCAAAAAATGATACCTTTGACAAGATCTGGTCTCCCTTTTTCTCTTTTATTGAAGAAGAACAGTATATTTTAATGCCGCCATCATCACTGAGGTGTCTGTGGAAGGGTCTGTGGAATTGATTGAACATGTATTGTATTGTAACTTTTGAATAAATGTTTTTTGAATTTTTTTAAAAAATGGGAAGGAATTTATGAACAGGGGTGGGAAAACTTATGGCTGTCCAACTGCTGGACTCCAACTTTGATCAGCCCCAGCCAGCAGAGTCAAGGTTGATTAGAGTTGTAGTTCAACAGCATCTATTGGGCCAAAGGTTAGCCACCCCTGAGTTAAGCCCCTTCTGTGCTAGACATTTAAAGCACTATCATACCACTTTAAACAGTCATGTCACCCCCAAAAGAACTCTGGGAACTGCATGGTGCTAAGCGTCGTTAGACGACCATATTCCCCGTAGAGAGCTACAATTTGCAGAACGGTTTAACAGTCAATGCCTCTTCCAAGGGGAGTACAGATCTTTGAATATTGTAATACAGTGGTACCTCGGGTTACATACGCTTCAGGTTACATACGCTTCAGGTTACACACTCTACTAAGCCAGAATCTAGTTTATGTGCACTAACTGAATCTTCTGAATGTTCTTCAAGGGTAGCCCCATGAAGAGCGCATCGCAGTAATCTAAACGTGATGTGACTTATAGCATGGATTACTGTTGCAAAATCAGACTGGTTCAGGAAAGGCCAATACCTTTGTTTAAATGAGAAGTTACTTGTTGGTTCCCTCTCCTCAGCCCTGTCACTAACACAACAATGTGCTCACTCATTTACTTATAACCACAACATCCTGACTGAAAGTGCAGAGCACATTGCTCACCGCCCTGGCCCAGCCATGGTTTTTCTGTCAGTCCAAGCGAACAGACTCCTGTTGATTCAAACAGTGCTGATGAGTGTCGAGAGGGGCCTGAAGGAAGACGAACGATGATTTCATATTGCCCCGTGTGTGGAAAACCAGTCTACTTTGGTAAGTTTATTTCTCTCTCCTCACTGTGTTTAAACTGCATCTCTCTCATGAGTTCATAATGCTAGAAATTAAGGGCAGGGCTTTGAGGCTCTGGTGAGGATGGTAAGTCTGAAATGCTCATGGTTAAAAGACTGATGACTGGGGGGGAAGTGTCTTTGTATGGGTAAGTGTTGAGATTAGGTTTCATATTAACTTGCCTCCAGATCTGCTGCTCTAGGAGATTGTTGTTGTTGTTTAGTGTTTAGTCATGTCTGACTCTTTGTGACCCCCTGGACCAGAGCACGCCAGGCACTTCTGTCTCCCACTGCCTCCCGCAGTTTGGTCAAACTCATGCTGGTCGCTTCGAGAACACTATCCAACCATCTCGTCCTCTGTCGTCCCCTTCTCCTTGTGCCCTCCATCTTTCCCAACATCAGGGTCTTTTCCAAGGAGTCTTCTCTTCTTATGAGGAATTTTGGAGCCTCAGCTTCAGGATCTGTCCTTCCAGTGAGCACTCAGGGCTGATTTCCTCAAGAATTGATAGGTTTGATCTTCTTGCAGTCCATGGGACTCTCAAGAGTCTCGTCCAGCACCATAATTCAAAAGCATCAATTCTTCAGTGATCAGCCTTTTTTATGGTCTAGGAGGTTACCCCATCAAGAAAAGAAAAGAAAAGAAAAGAAAAGAAAAGAAAAGAAAAGAAAAGAAAAGAAAAGAAAAGAAAAGAAAGAAAAGAAAAAGAGGAGGTTCTACAAAGGGTCTACAGCTCAGTGGCAGAACATCTGTTTTACATGCAGAATGTCCCATGTTCAGCCGCCAGAATCTCCAGGGAGGATCGCTTGACATTCTGGAGAGCCACTGCCAGTTAGTGTAGCCCAATGTTTCCCAAACTTAGGTCGCCAGCTGTTTTTGGACTACAACACCCATCATCCCTAGCTAGCAGAACCAGTGGTCAGGGATGATGGGAATTGTAGTCCAAAAACAGCTGGAGACCCAAGTCTCGAAAACACTGGTGTAGGCAATACTGAGTTAGATGGATTAATGGTCTGACTTAGTATAAGGCAGCTTTCAACACTCCTTTAATAACTTTGGTGCAAATTCTCTGTCATGAAAGAGTTGGATATGGAGAAATTTGGGATGTCTTCTTTCACATTAGGAAAACCTTGTCCTTTTGCTTCTGGGCTCTCTGTCTGCTATGTGGCCACAACCTCTTTGCCAATTCTCTTTCCGGTCTTTGAAGTTTAACACAGCCTACAAAAGAAGTGGGCAGGGGGGAGGGGGTTCTGAACAGAAGAACAAACCCTACACGGCTGCCTCATTGTTTGAGCTCTGGACTTTTTCAACCGAACTGCCTAATCGTTCCACTTTTGTTTTTCCATAAAGAGTGTACATCTGATCCTAAATTTGAAGTGCTCTGTATGGCTTCTGTTGTGCCAACATCAGTCTTCCTTCAACTCCACCCCACAAAGGCACTGAGAACGATTCGTTTCTGTAAAAACTGCAATTCCCGTGCTGAAGCCAATTTGGGTGCTATGCAGAACTATTCCACCCATGCCCAGAAAAAAATAATGAATAGTTGCACAATACGCCCATTTCTCGTGAAATACATCAGAAGAAAGCTGCATATGGTTTGAAGTCATGAGCAAGATAAAGGACTGGTCTTGTAACGTGGACTCCTTCTGTAATTCTGTCCAGGCAAAGTCAGGAAGCCTCCAATAGCTAAAATAGCAAAATTGGCTGAGTCACATTCTCTTACTCTGCAAAATTCTGTAGTTGCTTCAACAGGGACCTACTGTATGGGATGTGAGGAGGGCATGGAGCAAGCAGAAAAGCAAATCTGTGGGTCACTTGCAGGGTGCTTACAGAAATCCATTTTATTTGCACATTATCATTTGTGCTCAAGATGCTGTCAGAGTGGTCACACACAATCCTACTTTCAATTCTCTTTGGGTCTGCAAAAGTTCTGGAGTGGTCACAACGCTTCATTTCCAAGCAGTGCATATCCTACAACTTCCTCCTGAAACCCCACAACTTTTTAGAGCATAGCTGTTCCGGTTTAGTTTTTGCTCTGCTTTGATTATGCTGTAGCCCCTCCAGACAGCACAATGTGGTAGCGCAGGGGAAGCATCCCAGAACCAACTAAAGAAGAATGAACACACAACTAATGCGCTATTGCTGTGTCAACAGCATATTGAAGAACGTACCTGCACTAAACACCTGTCTGGAGGGGCCCTCAGTGGAAATGTTGCTTCTTCCCATTTTATGGCTCTTCTCAGCAACAGCACAGATAGTGAAACCAAACTTTTGCTGGGAATTACCGTATTTTTTGCTCTATAAGACTCACTTTTTCCCTCCTAAAAAGTAAGGGGAAATGTGTGAGCGTCTTGTGGAGCGAATGCAGGCTGCACAGCTATCCCAGAAGCCAGAACAGCAAGAGGGATTGCTGCTTTCACTGCGCAGCGATCCCTCTTGCTGTTCTGGCTTCTGAGATTCAGAATATTTTTTTTCTTGTTTTCCTCCTCCAACAATTAGGTGCGTATTGTGGTCTGGTGCGTCTTATAGAGCGAAAAATATGGTAATTATTGGATTTGGGTGGTAGGAAATCTTCAAAGTGCTTGCTTTGGCAGACCCTGGAGACAAACTGCTTCTAGCCTACAATCCACAAAGTACCACAGCCCCCAAAACATGCTAGGAGGGCTTCTCAGGGAAGGCCTCTCAGAAATGGCTGACCCAGAAATTGGGTTGCTTCTACTAAATTCCAGGAATCTGGCCTGGCCTCCAGTTGTAGTGGAATTCAGCACTGCTCCTGAATTTGGAGGGGTTATGGACTAGGGTCGGGCTTGGGCAAGGGATACAAGTCCCCAGACAAAGATGAAGTTCCCTCGGTCACCTTACACTATCAGTCCTAGAAGATTATTTTGTTCTGTTCTTCAGTCTATTAATTTTTAATCTTCTTTTTACAAGTACCCCATGGTCAACCCCCCCATTATTTAATAATACTTGATATTAGTATTGCACTCTTCCCAACTACCCAAAGGTCTCCACAGCTGTCTCAATCATTATTACAACTGTGTAAGCTAGGCTGGTGGGACGCGGGTAGCACTGTGGGTTAAACCACAGAGCCTAGGACTTGCTGATCAGAAGGTGGTGGTTCGAATCCCCGCGACGGGGTGAGCTCCCATTACTCGGTCCCTGCTCCTGCCAACCTAGCAGTTCTAAAGCACATCAAAGTGTAAGTAGATAAATAGGTACCACTCAAGCAGGAAGGTAAACGGCGTTTCCGTGCGCTGCTCTGGTTCGCCAGAAGCGGCTTAGTCATGCTGGCCACATGACCCGGAAGCTGTACGCCGGCTCCCTCGGCCAATAAAGCGAGATGAGCGCCGCAACCCCAGAGTCGGTCACGACCGGAACTAATGGTCAGGGGTCCCTTTACCTTTACCTTTAAGCTAGGCTGGTATTATGACCTGTGTCATAAGGTGGAGGAGAGAAGCTGGAAGCTGTATCATTTGCCTAAAACCATCTATTGTGTTCACTGATGAACATACATTTGAACAAAGAACACCCCAGCTCCTTCTCAAAACACACTCCTGGCCTCTGTAAACTAGCCCAGTGGTTCCCAAGTTGTACCCCCTCACCACCACAGACCACTTGAAAATTGCTGAGGTTCTTGGTGGACCATTTTACAATTTTTCTCCCTGTCATAGCAAATTGTGATATGTGCTAGATGATGTGTGATTTTTAATTGCATTTTTAATTGCTTCTTTCATTTCTTATATTGCAGTTTATTGCCTTACAGTTTGAATTCCACAGAATTAGCATTGTAATGCAATTAAATACAATATCAGAAATAAAAGGAGCAATAAAAAACTGTATGACTGTTAATGAGAACATGCCATGGACCACCAGAATGAAGCTGGTGGACCACGGGTGGTCCACAGGCCACAGTTTGGGAGCCCCTGTTTTGCTCAGAGGGAAAACCAGGCAAGGTGTTCATGGCATGGAATTAATGCAAGGCTGGGCATTCAGGAAGCCACAGCAGTCAGAAGGTAGCAAGTGTAGCAGAAACAGGAAGAGCAGGTCACAAACAGGAAGCACTGAAGATGTGAAGCAGCAGCACTGAAATGCGAGGCAAACATTTACAAACCACAGAGCGCAAGCAAAAGGAGAGCTCTAAAATAAGTGCAACCTGATGTCAATTTTCTGTGAGACACCTGCAGTCACTGCCCCCAGCTCACCAAGTGAGTTGCCAGTGGATGTTCCTGGGAGCTCAATAGCTGTGCAGCAAAAGACCTTTTGACCAGTGTGTGGTTGCTCCTTTCACTACAGGAGGTATGCAGACCCTCAGAGCCAAATGTGGCCCTCCAGGACTCTCTATCAGGCCCCCCAGGCTGCTCCTTTCTGGACTTCCTCCCTACCAGCTGACATATCCTGCTTGGGATATGTCCTTGAACTCCAATAGTGCTTCTTGCTTACGTGTGTGGAGCTGTGTGTAGACAGAGGTGTAGGAATATCTGGTACCTGCTGGGATGACTGGGATGCAGCCCATGGTCCAGGGAGAATGAGCCACATCCAGTTGCTCTGACAAGTTTTTGGATCTGGCTAAACCCATTAGCCCCATATGGCCTGCAGATGGTTGCCCAGCCTTAGGTTAAAAAAAGGTTCCCCACCTCTGCAGCGCAGCATCAGACTCCCACTGATACTCTTAATAAATAATATGAGAAAACCAGTTGTCATCTCCTTGCCCTTCTCTTTCCCATTTGGGCATGCAAGATGGTTGAGTAAACAGGTGACACGTTGCATTGCTCCAGAAAACCTGGGGTGATGAGTACATGCACCGGTTTCTGTCTGCTGGTAGCCATGATGGCTATAGTCAACCTCCACTTTCAGAGACAACATTCCTCTGAATGCCAGTTGCTGGAAATCACAGGTGGGAAGAATGTTGTTGCGCCCAAGTCTTGCTTGCTGGTTTCCTATAAGTATCTGGTCAACCACTGTGAAAACTGGATGTGGGACTAGATGGG